TTATTTCATTAAAAAATAATTGACGTGTTTATTATTTAAATGTAAAAAATTATTATTTAATCGTCACATATCATATTAATAATGAAACATGTCATTTGTTTTTATACGAAATAATTAATTTATAATTAAATTAATAAATAATAAATAATCAAATTAAATATTTTTTTAGTTTAAAGGTCAAATCAAAAGTTTGTATAATATTTAAGGGACCAAATTTAGAATTTAACCTAGAAATAAATATGGGGTGTGGTCAGTGGTGGGGTCTGTATAGCACCATAGGAAAAGTCTGTGCACTATGCAATGAAAGGGTCCTTTTTGTGGTTCACTAGTACGGACAAGATCTAACACCACTCATCGTGATCCTTCAGATGGCCAATCAGATGGTAGGGATGAATTCTTGAGAATCTACACTGTGAATGCAGAGCAGGCTATGTTTTTCTCCTCCATGATTCTAAGTTTACTGGCACATGAACCGCTGAAGGATTATCAGTAATGGAGTAGAAGTGGAAGTATAACTGGTTTCTTTCTCACTTTCTGGTTGGGAGCTAACTAGAAAATGATAAGCATGGAAAGCAGTGAAGCAAAAAGAAGTCAAAACTAATTATAGGTGGAAAATCAAATACAATGATTATCTTCTACTAATTCACCTAAACTCTCGTCGGTACATCGATTTTTATATCTCTGATATTGTGGTCAATCATATGAAATGATGATACAGGGAATGTATACCTTGGAAAATAAGCATATAGGGTGGTATGGTGTTGTTGGGGTGGGGGGGAGTGGGGAGAGAACGTGGATAGAACCACATACCTTCAATAAAATAACCTTTGAGAAAAAAAAAATTACAAATACTGCCACCTAACTTGAATTTCTAAGAAGGGATACTGACCCACTTTTACTGCAAACCTTTTCCCATGTGTCTGGTTTGTTAAAGAATGGGGTCTACAAATAAATAAATATCTTTCCAAAACATTTTTTTGATGATTTGCCAATCTTTAGAAACCCATAAAAAATATATTTTTTAAGGAAAAATAAAGGGGAAAAATTAATAAGTGAAAACAATTTAGTCTTTGTTTGAACACTATAGCAGCTCTTTTATATTTAAGGTTTCCCTCAAACCACTTTACTCTACAAAAGATAAGGGAGAAGAGAGGAAGAAGAGGATGGAGAAGAGTACCTTGGTTAATTATTCACTGCAACTAGAGGATGCATCCAAAGGGATCGCATTGATCCAAACCCTTTTTCCTCCCATAATTTTGGATCATGCTATCCCTTTGGATTTCTCCTCGGGTAGCTTCATCAAGATGTCAAGCATAGAATGGACTTCAACAAGAGACGAAGAGCAATGCAAACATCTTGAAATCAGGTAAGTAATCATCAACAATTCTAACATCATAGTTAGCTCACTTTTTTCTCTTCAAACTGGTTGCCATGTCTTTTCTTAAGTTCCTCAGGCCTTTCTTTCTCTTCTTAATTTCTCTTTATAAATTTTTTTGCCTAGCACAACATCTGTTTTTTTTCTTTTTTCCCTCTTATTGTATCTGTGAGGGCCTAATAATTAAGCTTAATATATAGTTGAATGAATGAAATCCAAGATTCAAATCCGAAATCCCATAAACTATTCATTGGATCTGACTTCAAAAACCTAAATCTTGACCTAGAATCCGGAACAAAAAAATTACAGAAGTTACCAAGATGTATAAATTATCCTTTTATGCCATATTTTACTGAACGTGATAGTTTTACCTTTTTATTTTATTTTATTTTATTTTTTTTATCTAACACATATATCTTCAAGAGATTTTCAATTCAAAGACATATGCATTTATCGATTCAATTTATATAATTTCAAGCACCATGGTGAGAAAAGAAACATTCTTATCTGTCTATGAATCATCATTAACAGTTTAAACAAGTGGAAGTTTCTCATTATTAGGCGAACACATATTATGAATAAAACAGTGCTTGAAAGTGAAAGACAGTATAATTTCATACGTGCCTTGAGCCACAATTTACCCTATTTTCTGGAAACTTTTTATATCATGACATACTTCCAACAACTTGATTTCACCTTTTCATAAAGTTGCTTTTCTCTCATTGAAATGATTTTAACACTGTAGTTAATTTGATGATGAGCTTATGCATTTTACCTGCTGCTTTTATTTAATTTTCTGCATACATAGCCGGACAGTCCCCAAAGAGAGTTGGATGAAAGGTACTAGAAGAGATTGACTAGCATTGAGCAAAGCAGGTGGTCCTGAGTCAAAGACCCCTAAATCACATGCTTAAAGGACTTTAATTAGAATCCAAGGCAGTGAAATATGGTATTCAAGGAGTTCCCTTTTTTCCCCACTATGGGGCTCACATTGAGTGTCCCAAAGGCAAAGGAATCGTAAAACATGTGATGAGAGCTTAAACAAATCCTCAAAAATAAACCCATTGCTGAAATTTTAAAAGGAAAATAGAAAAAGGGTAGTCTTTCTTTTTGATCCTCTAAGCATATGACCCCCAACATTCTAACCATACACATATGAGATATCCCTTTTGTCACATGGCCCCAGCAAATTACACCCCATTTTCTTGCTTTTCTCCAAGCAATGAATCATCATCTTCAATCAATTGCAATTACTCCAGATATCTTCAAATGATACACAGCAAAACAGTCTTCAATGAGAAACAACAAATATTAAGGCATCAAATGTGGCTTTTTCCCATTTCAATATTTTATGCAGCAGTTGATATCTAATTATACTTGTAGAAAGAGCATTTGATTTGATCATTTGTCAAACAAAGCTCATGCTAGACGAGAATAATGTTTCTGGTTTTGTCATTCTCACCTCTCCTATACACTTTTATATTTATAATCTTTTGAGAGAACTATGGAGCTTTACCTTTAAAATTGTTAGGCTAGTGGCAGATTTCGGCCCAGATAGTTCACATCTACTTCCCTTTCCAGATTCAAGGAATCGTTTCTTGTTCAACTCCTTATAAAGCAAAGCCTGACCCCTTGTATTAAAATACCAGTTTCCAAAATGTATATCTCCTGCTTTCGGCTGTCTGAGCATGAATATATTTATATATCTATCCACTTGTTTGAAGTTTGAGGTATTAATATATTTAATCACACATATGATTTGAGGGTTTAGTATAAATATATGGTCCAATTAGAGACAGCGCAATGTGCATCATTAAAGCTTCTCTCAAGTTAAGATTGGCTTAGATGTTCCCAAATATCAGTCTTTGCCTCCTAATGTACCAAAAAGGGATAGAAATCAGATTTCTCGACATTGCGTAAGTCCTTATCAGCTAGCTATATATACAATGCTTCATATGTTTTATCTGTTGGACAATGAAAGTTCTTCAAGGCTTTAATATATCAGAAAAAAAGAATATACAGCAGTACTAGATTTCAGAGTTTCCCAAGTTTTTGAAAAGTCACACAGGGACATGATTAATTCTTGAAGAACATGCATGTAGTTAAATTACATAATTAAATTGAAGTTTTCTTGAATGAAATGAATAGAGTTGAAAATGTTAAGGAAATAAATGGGGTCCTAGAGGTACATGTAGGGAAGAATTTTTAGACACTAGAGTTTACATATTGTCCTTATAATGTAAGAATATGCAGTCCAAATGTCTCCCCCTTGGACTACACAGGTTTTATGGTGGACACATAAACTGCCAAAACAAAAACCATGGATTTGAATTTCCCTGTGGACATGGCTCCCACTGTAACAATTTATTGAATCAGCCATTTAACTTCAAAAACTTTGTTCAAGGTTTCTACTTTAAATTAGTGTAATAATTAATAGTTAAGTACTACCTTTTTTTTTCTCGATATATATATATATATTTATTGAATAAATTAGCATAGTACAGCTCATGAACATATAAACCCAATATAGAAGAAATAATTGAGAAGAAGAAATATGTAGAAATCCAGAGATTTTTCTGAATTCATGATGCATGCAGTGCCAAGTCACATGACAATGACAATAAAGGAAAAGAATTTCAAAAAATAGGAGATTTAATTATTAAAATATTAAAAATGATAATAAAAAAATTCCATTAATTTTAATAAATTAACATACAAGTAAAATTTATTAAAATATTTAAATAATTTTATAAATAATATTAATATTTTAAATATCAAAATATCTTAATTTTTATTTTTTTCTTAAAAAAAGAAAGAAAGAAAAAAAAAAAAAGGGCCAGGCATTTGGTGATAGTTGCATCCTTGTTGGCCAAAATAATTGAAGGAAAATAGAAGTAATAATGGTCAGATTCTTCTCCTGATTATTTAATTTCTCAAGTTGAATGGAACACAATCTTGCATGGAAGTCCTCTGCATTATTATGCTGTATTTGACCAAACTTTATTTAGAGATCTACAACTGCCACAGTACCTGCCACCACTTTAATCTTCTTCATTTTCTTAATTAATTTATGGAAAAAATACAGAGATAGTGGACATTTTTTTGACTCCAGGAGGCAGATGCTCCCCTGATTCTGCATTTTTGGTGCGAAATTCTATAAGGGAAGAAAGTATGTCAGGTCAGTTCAGGTCAGTCAAATTCTCCCTTCAAAAACATGATTGGATTAATTCGATTATGAGACAAATTGTGTATCCAGAAGGTCCAAAGAGTTTGTTAGGCAGTCAATTATTCATCAAAATAATAGAGGATTTACATAATTTAAGGTCCTTTTCAATCAGATTTCCATTTTTAATTGTGGAAGTGGCCCCAGAAATTAAGAATTCTTCCTCATAGTTAGCAGTTGGACTATGAATTTCATCATATTTTGCCACTGTGAATGAGACATTGCAAGGATATTTACAAAGACATATCATTATTCTAGTAAAAAATGACCTTAGTTTCATCCAAGTTTCGACAATAAACGCATCATGTAAACAGGATTTGGTTTATAATATATTACTTTCTCATTAATTTTCAAAAGAAACCCTATTGCAAAATAAGTTTTTCATTTTTGTTTCCAAAAAAATCGAATATTTACCAACCTCCAGTAGTTTTTATGAAAACATTTATCACCATGTCATATTGTTGTCAACCAATCATTTTATTTTAAATGTTCAATTTATTTTTGTTTGATAATATATATTTTTATTTTGGTTTATAATAAAAGATAATTATCTTTTATTCATTATCTCATCTCATTTACATGTTATGTAACTCGAATTCAAAATTTTTTATTTTTTGTAAAAAAAAAATTATTAGTAAACTACTTAGTTCATTAGTGTTTGATAATAATTTTTAAATTTCAATTTTTATTGACTATTTGGTAAATATAAAAAGGGTAAAGGAAAAAAGAATAAAATTCAAACTCTAAAAATTACTATAACAATTAAAGACAAAATAAAAATCAAGTCCTGTTAATAATAAAAATATTAAAATTATTTATAAAATTATTCAAATGCTTTAATACATAAATATTCGAAGTCATTTAAAGGTACTTCAATTCTTTCATTTGCATTAGTCATGAAATTTTAATAGATTTTCTTAAACTAAAAAAAGAGTAGTAAAAATTAGGGTGTCTTAAACACTCTTATAAAATTATTCAAGTATACTTAGCGTTGGGCAAGGGGCGGCCTCGATTGCAACCGAAACCGAGATCTCGGTTAATTGAGTTTTTGGCTGTTCATTTTTAGAAACCGAATATCAAACCATGAGGTTTCAAGTTTTGTTTTGTCAGTTTCGAGCATATTGGTTTCGGTTGACAAGGAATTGATTTTCCAATCAAGTAGCAGCAATATTTCGGCAATGAATCATAAAAAGTGCGGGAAAGACAAAAATAACGCAATGCACCGGTGGCTATGGCAGAGGAAACAAGAGAGTAAATCAAGCACTGGGGTGGAGTTTTATTTTTAGATTTAGACTTTGAAGAAAGATTAATTAAAAAGAGAAAGTAGTGAAGAGAAAGGATTAAAGAAAGAGAATGGATTTTTGGTGCAGATTTGGGATTTAAGAGAACTAAGGAGTGAAAAGGGAGAGTTGGAGAAAATGGGCTTTGAAATAGGAGGTAGGAGAAGATGAGTACGGCAAACAACAAAAGTGAAAGGTAAATAAATAAAAAAAAAAAACAAAAAAACGAATGCCATTTAAATCAAATGGTCTAAAATAAATTGATTATTATAATTCAATAGATGAAATAAAATTTTAATTTATTAAAAAATTAAATAAATTAATTAAAGTAAGATAATGTCATATGGAATTCAA